TTATGTATTATAGATCCAAAATACTCACTTGGTATTTTTTATTTTTTAAATAATTTCAAATTTTCAAATAATTTTTAAATATAAAAATAAAATTAATCTGATAATATATATAGTAATTATCTATTTTTTAAATATCAAAATATTTTTTAATTTTTAGTTAAATACTAATTACACAACAAATAATTTTTGAATTTAAACATAAAAATTAATAATAATTACAAAAGATCTTAACCTGTAATTTCATTTTAATTTAACAAAGAATCGTATCTTACTTTTGTAAAAACTCAAATCCCTATCAGGAATTTTGATCGTAATAATCCAATAATAGTAAAATAAATAATACTTAAATTTTTTATTTATCGGAAACATTTATAGTTTAGATGTTACATTTTTTGCACGTTTAACTAAAACGCCCAAATCGGGTTACGGAAATGCTTTAGAACTTAAACGAAAAAGAAAACATTAACGATAAATATGATTAACTTCCATTTAGAATTGACAAACCAGAAGAGGTAATCCTTTAGCTGGTTTTTTGTTGTTCAATATTCGGGTCTTGGTCGTTCTGATTTAAAATGGTTAATAACAAAGATAGTGAACTACACTAACTCAGTAAGAATATCAACATCTTACCATTGATACAGAAAATTAAATGATTGTAGAAAACATAAAACGATCAATTGAGCACACTTTTAATAAAACTCGAATGCTAGTGTATTCATTACTCGTTTCACTGAAAATATTAGTTTTTTCTTAATTAACCTGTAACTTATCAAATGTCATATATTAAGATAAAAATCAGAATAACAATCTAACAGTATATATTTCAAAAGACATAATATTTGACTTTTCAATATTTTTTCAAAGTCGAATTCCTTACCATATTCATCATTTTTCTATCATTTTACCTTTCCCTACCGATGTCACTAGGGGTTTCTAAGAATCTTCACTACATGCGGATACAAACATTTTATTTGTAATTAATCGGTCGTCCCACACCCCGTCCATTAATATGTGCCACACAAAAAAAATCATCTCAATACCCCATCCGGTATGAGAGACACTTATAAACTCCCAACCTCACCTAGTATAGGACTTTCTAGTCCTGTACAACTGAGGATAACATCCATGGTAGGGTTCATCCTATATACCAAGTCCGTACACTCTTTCTTATGACACTTGATAAATTCTTTTATTCAACAAAGTTAGTTTACGCATGCATATTTTTTATTATTATCTAGCCACCAATAATGCATAATACTCATATTTCAAAAAATACAAGTGAACAAAATTCATGTTTCGAAATTTATTAAAAATAAAATCATAAGTAAAAAATAGAATAAAATATCATAATAGAATAGAGATATCATACGTTGCGATAACATGGATAGTAAAATAAAACGATAAGTTAAAATGGAATTGAGTAAAGCGAAATGTGATAATGAATCAAAATGAAATAAAATCTAACGATTCAATCGACGTGATTAATACGTTGGTTTTAAATTGATAAAATGGAAGAAAAATGAAAATGGGAGATTAAAATAAAATAAAGTAAAAACATGCAACAAACTAATAAAAAACATGCAATAACTAGTTACTGACTCCATCGGCAACCTGAATTTAATTAATCAAGAGATCGTCAACTATTTATAATTTTCTATTTATTATTAATTTAGTTTTAATTTAACTATCATAGGAAAAAAAAATGGTGAAAGATTCTTATACTGGGTCGGTGTCTAAAATACCATCTTTTTCACCACGGCTCCTGACAGTTCTCGATTTTTGGATTTCTTAGGTTTTCTTGATAAGATTGAAAACTTACATCAAAATGGCATGAAAGTATGCAAGGAACAGCGAAAAAAGTAAAAAATCTCACTGGGCATCGGGTTAGGGTTCTGGTGCGGCAGTGTCGTCATGCTCCGCCCTGGTCCTCTTTCTCTGGTGGTTCTTCCTCTTGGTCAAACCAGTTTTGGCCGATTCTTGGTGAAATTTTATTTAAATCGTGGTTAGGGAGTGTTTTTCTGCGAAAGGATAAGAGAAATAAGGATTTACTAGTGGTTTTAGTCATCCGGTGCGGCGGCTCAACCGAGCTCTGTTGTTCCTTCTTTGCAGTTTGCAGCTTCTCTTAGTCACTCTGCATCGGAAACGTATTAGATGTTTAAGAACGGACAAACATAAAGAAAATACGGTTTATTAGAGTGTTTTCGATGTTCTGGCATAGTGGCGTCGGCGTTCCTCCAGTGGCTGAATCCCCTTCCAGCCGCTTTCTTCTCTGGTGGATGCGTCGGCTAGAGTTTGGGGAGCCGAGTAAGAGAGGTTTAAAAACCTCTCCTTCTTCAATCTGGGTTATTCGTGTGGGTCCACGTGGCGCAACAGATACCATTTGATCACGCTTATTTGATGAACGAATCCGGACTATTCGATTAGAGATACACAAGTCATTCGATTAATCCTATTTGGAGAATTAACTTAGATCGTTCGTGCGCACGGGAGTAGCCCTGAGCTGTTAGATCGGTCTGACACGCGGATTGCCAGCATGACTTCTCGCGTGGAGCCTGTGTCGGTGTGTCCACTAAAACTTGACAATAGAATTGTCAATAAATTGACAATATATATGATCAAGATGACAATAAATTGACAATATAAATAATTATTTATTATAAATTAAATGACTGTATCTTTAATTATATTGAAATCACTAAAACTTTCTTTTATAGCTAAAGCACTATGATTCATGTTAGTTTTTATATTAGAATTTTGACTTTCACTACTATTTCTATTTTCACCCTATTTTCCAAACACATCATGCATTGCTGTTGAACTTTGGAGGGGCTAACAAGCTTAAGGACCTCTTTTTGAATACCGGGTATAGCTTGACTACAAAAGTATAGTGTCATTCATGTTTGAACATTTACTTCTATACATGACAAC